CGCCTCACTATGAGTCCGAGGGCGTCACCAACCTTCCCGAGACCTCTACATGGAGCCGGCGATCCAGTGGCGATAGCTATGGCTGGTATGGACAGAACACCGGCGACACCGAGAGCGCAGGGGCCAGGACCCAGAGCGCCTCAGAAGGAGCCACCCAAGAGACTCCCAGCACGGCGGCAGGTTCCGAGGCCAACTCTTGGGACGATGCTGCCTGGCGTGCTTGGAACAGCCGGTGGAACAGCTGGAGCAACTGTCGTATCGGCCTCAGTGGGACTGGTCATCCTCGGCTTCCTCAACAGGTTCCATCCAAGAAGGCAATGGGAGGCAGAAAGGATGGTACCTACTGGCAGATGCTGGACTCGACCATGGGGAGAAGAACCTGGTGATGACGGCTCTGGGGGGGACTTCTCCCCTGCCCGAGTGGCGCAAGAGCTGCGCAACCAGTTCCCAGAAGCTGAAGTCCGACGGCGAGACCACGGACGCCGCTATCAAGGTTTCCTTGGAGACATCCCCGAGGAGGCGGACGAGGACCTCGAGATCCAGGATAACACCACAGCGGAGCTGATGGACGAGGGCATGACGGCAGAGGGAGCGGCCTTAGTGGTGGATGCGGAAGCTCAAGCACAGGAAGCTATGGCTGCCTTACATCAAGCCCGCCGCACCCTACGTGATGCCCGCCAACGACAACAGCAGGTGAAGCAGTCTTGGAAGTACTACACCTCGGGAGCTCCTGGCAGGAACATCTCATGTGGCTCCTCAGATCCGGCTCGGGATGATTCCCAACTGGACTGCCTTGGAGGAGAACCTCAACAAGCCCCTTTCGTCTGCTACCTCCACCCCGTGGACACCGAGACGGAGGAGGCCCACAACGGCTTCGCCCAAGAGAAGGACAACGAGGACCACGAGCAGGCCTACCACAGCGGCTTGCGGCTGGAGCTTCCCACAACACAGGAAGCTGCGCGAGAAGGCATGGCCGTCATAGACGGAGTGTGGCAGCGGTGGAGGCAGTACTTCGCAAGAACCTTCGCGACCATGGCGAGAGCCGCCTCAAGGGCATTATCACGGAGGGGGTCCCCACGTTCTCCTTCGGGAACTCCACTGAGGACCGCTGTTTGAGCACGGCCAGGCTGGGAGTGAGCGCCAACGGCGCACTGGCAGAGATTAGCGTCCACACGTTACAAGGCACAAAGTCCCATACTCCTCAGTATTGAAACCCTCCGCAGGTTAGGAGCCCTGATAGACTTTAGCTCTGACCATGTTGTTTTTCGAGCCTCGATCCGCGTCGGTCGTGAAGCTCGGTCGAAGCCCCAACTTTTGTCCCTCACAAATGATTGGCTGGGGGATGCGCACCTGGCTGAAGCTGATGTGCCAGGGCTGGCAGCTTACTTGAAGCCCCTGTAGGGACATCTCCTTCTGAGAGTTTTTCAGGGCAGTGTGTACAGATTACCCAAAGTTACTCTGCTGATAGGGAACCCCAAAGTGATAGTGGTAGTAAGGGTTGTAGGAGTGAATTTCCAAACAGGCAAGGGAGTGCTGTGCAGTCCGGCAGTCATGTCTCTGAAGCAGCAGTACATCATGGAGCTTCCAAAGCCGCAGTAGCAGCTTGTGTACGTGGCAGCAATCCTGGCTTACCAGCACCCCATTGCTTCCCTGTACCTGGTGCTTCACAGCATGGCCAACCTGAACTCGATGACCCGCGGAGACCTCGTCCTCATCCTGAAGACGTATGGCGAAGAGCCACCGACTTCATGGACTCGCATGGACTTGCTTCACCGCATCGACGAGCTGGTGGAGTCGAAGGAGATCGAGGTCCAGACGGGCAAGAAGTCGGGCACCACGCTCCAAAAGGCGGTCAGCGAGTTGAACAAGGCAAGCCGGAAAAAAGCGGACTTGGTCCACCATGCGCAGACCAACTTGCTGCTCAATGTGGGCCCCAATGCCACGACTCCGGTGATCCAGAAGGCGGCCATGGAGAAGCTCCTGACGGAGATTGCGGGCGAGGACAACGACCTCATGGGCTTCGGCAAGTTCGCTGGGAGGACTTACCTCGATGTGAAGACCAACGAGGCAAGCTACTGCCAGTGGGCGAAGACCACATACCAGGAAGAGAGTACGTCAACCTACCTGAAGAGGTTCGTGGTTCGTGGAGTATCTCCTTCTGCCCGACTCCTCCGAGAAGAAGAAGATTCCTATCAAGTGCAGCCCCAAGAAGATGGCCGGGAAAGCAGGCTATGTGGACCCGAAGGTGAAGACGCTCCCACATCGCCACCGAAGAGCTCCCCGGCAAGCTCCTCGACCGAGGCCACGGTCACCCAGCTCACGCAACTGGTGGGCGAGCTGATTGCAGAGGTCAAGGAGTTGAAGGAGGAGAAGGCGGCGGCCGTCCCGAGGAAGATTGCCGCGAAGTCGGATGTGACGATGGGAGCGAGCAGCCAGGACATCCGATGAGTCAAGTAGCGGCTAATGCACTTGCGTATAAATCCCAACTTGTGGCGCCCAACATGTTTGAGGACCTTACTGGTAACAGTTGTCTAGAACTAATGGAGATTGCCTGTGAACCGGACAGTCTGTTAGCCAGTGCTGCGCAAGCAAGGACGGGCCGAAGTGATGCTGCTTGTAGGAGCTCACTTTGGTGTGGGCATGATCTTGCAACCTCCGCAGGGTTGAGTCAGGTGCTTGAACAAATTAGGGTCTATAGGCCCTAAGCGCGTTTGGGTTTCCCCTCCTTGTGGCCCATATAGCCCTCTCCAAAATGTTAATCAGAGGACACCTGCACAGGTTCAAGACCTCAAGCATAAGCGGGCAACGGCCCAGCGCATCTATGAGAGTACTCTTGAGATCGTAAAAGTTTGTCTCCAATTGGGGATACATGCCACGGTTGAGCTTGCTGAGCGCTGTGAAGCCTGGAGATTGCCCGTCTTTCAGAAATTAAGGTTCTTTGCATACGGCGGTGACCAAGGGCTGTTCGGTGGGGTTAAAGGGTCAGGATGGAAGTCTCATGCAAAAGGGATGGCGCATTGTGACCTCTCATGCTAGACTGGCGGAAGTCATGCATAAACCATGTAGTTGTCCTACCAACTATAAACATGCCAAATGTGAAGGGAAGAATGCCACCGCGTCTGCAAGGTACACCAAGGAGTATGTGCGTCTTGCCGTTGAAGCTTTAAGCCGGGAAGGGGATTTCCAAAGGGTGGTTGAAGAGTGTTCGGGGAAGAGTCAATTGCCTTCGGGGTTCGGTTTGGGGTTGATGTGTACGTGTTCGGAGTCTAAGGAAACTTGTGGGAGCTGTCTTCTTGATGATTCCGCAGTGGAGGGTCAGCCGGAACAGCCTCAAGCCTACATGTCCGTGCAGGAGAACCAAACCCTGAACCAACAAGCGAGGGAACTCCAACAAAAGCCCCAGAATCTCACCCTTCAAGAACTTGAGCACTTTCTTCAACACCACCCCCTCACGAACCTGGGAAAAACCCGTAGGAACAGCGAAGCACCCCAAGCCTACCAGGTCTTTGGATCCTATGCCTTTGGCAACCATTATGGACTCACTGGGAAGACTCGTGGTGTGCGGAGTTGTGTAGATACATCAATCGTATCCTCAAAAGGGTCATGCCCAAAGACATGCATTGGACCTCCTTCGCCCTGAATCATGGAACCATGATGCCGATCCATAAAGACTACAACAACGACGCTCAGTACCCCAACGGCAGTGTGGGTTTTGGTCAGTATACCGGGGGGGGGGTTGTGGATTGAAGGTTCTGAGGTTCAGGGTGACAATGTAGGCAAGGTTTCTGTTCGGGAAAATGGTCAAGGGGAAGTTCTGGAAGGCAGGGAGTATGGGATCCACTTGAATCCGGTTGTGTTTTCTCCTAAGTTGAGGCATGGTTCTTGTGAGTGGGAAGGAGACCGCTGGGTTCTGACGGTGTTTGTGAGTAGGAACTGGCAGTGCCTCTCTCAAGAAGACTTGCAAGAACTGAAGGAGCTGGATTTCCCGGTTCCCCAAGAGTCCTTGCAAGCAGCTTACCCGGCCGAACACAGACCTGGGGACCCCCAACATCCCGAGAACATTGAACGTATCAAGAAGCAATTGTATCTTCTTCATTGTGCTACTGGACACAGTAACCCCAGACACATGGAACAGGCTCTTAGGAAACGAGGCGCTGATGCTCAGACCCTGCAGTTGGCCAAAGACTTTTCATGTCCTGTGTGCAGTGAAAAGAGCAAACCCCAACCTCGTAACCTTGCTGCTCTGGAACCCTTGCCCCCGAAACTGGCTACCATTAGCGCTGACGTGGGACACTGGGTTCATCCTCATACCCATGAATGTGTCCAGTTTATGCTTGTCATCGACGAAGGCTCTCGTTTTCGCACTGCTAGAATTCTGAGTCAGGGATCGAGACAAAGCCCGAATGCCCAAACGTGTCTCCGCTATCTCCAGGAGGGATGGGTGCAGTACTTCGGACTCCCGAGATGCCTCAGGCTCGATCCAGCAGGGGTTTTCAGGAGCACGGCTGTAGAAGAGTGGTGCGATAAACATGGCATCTTCTTAGACATAGTGCCTGGAGAAGCCCACTGGAAAGTGGGAACTTGCGAGAACGCGGTCCAAGGCGTAAAGAATGTCATGGATAAGTTGAGCCATCATGAAGAAGGAATCTCCGCACAGGAGGCCTTGGCAGAGGCCGTAGTGGCCTTCAACCACAAGGAGCTCGCGCGGGGCTTCTCTCCGGCCCAGCACATACTGGAAAATGCATCTGGAGAGTTTGAAAGAGCAGTACAGAGAAGAGCTGAAGCAGAGAAAGCCCAGACTGAATGGCAAGCAGCGCAGCGAATTACGCAAGCCAAAGACTCTTGACATCGTCCCAGCTACAACTACCGCCCCGGAGAGCTTGTCTTCTATTGGAGGACCCAGGAGGCGAACAAAGGACGCCGGCAACCTGGAGGAAAGCATGGCCGATTCCTCGGGCCAGCCAGAATATTAGCAACTGAAAACCGACGAGATCGGGGAGGTTCGAGCCGGTGGAGCTGTATGGTTGGTCAAGGGCCGGTCCTTGCTGAAGACCAGCCCTGAGCAGCTGCGCAGGGCGACTGAGAGAGAGGAGATGTTAGAGGCTCTCTCTGAACCAAGCTCCCAGTCCACTCCATGGACTTTTCACACTGTGGCAGAACAGGTGGGCGGCAACAAGTTCGAGGACATCAGCAAGGAAGTGCCTGATGTGACAGAATGGCAGCGAGCTCAAAGGCCGGAGGAAGAGATCCAGCCAACCAGGTTCCGACTACGGAGGAAGCGGCCTGCACCGGAAACCACCCGCGACGAGGAGGAAGAGGCGATTGACATAGGCCCCGAAGAAGAACCCGGAGGACCAACGAGAGGGCGATCGCGAAGCAGGGAGAGACCCCCACGGGGCTCAACGACAGAGGCGACCGCGTGGTGGTCCACCATTCCAGAACGTGAGTGGCCAGAGACACAAGCAAGCTACTGGTGTGAGAGAGATGCAGCTATGGAAATAGAGATCCCGATGCCCGAATCCAAACGTGGGATGAACAAGGCCTTGGAGGATCTTGGAGCCTACTTTGTGAACAACCTCAAACGAAGGGCGGTGGAACTGTCAGAAAAGCGCATGACGGCTGAGGAAAAGGAAGAATTTCGAGGCGCAAAGGGCGTCGAGATTCGTAACTTCCTTGCATCAGAAGCTTTCCAAGTGCTTCCTCCCCACCTTCGTCCAGACAAGTCACAGGCGATAGGAATGCGCTGGATCTTGAGTTGGAAACTCAAGGAGGATGGGACTCGCAAAGCCAAAGCGAGGGCCGTCCTCCTGGGCTATCAGGACAGCGCGTACGAGCACCGTGCGACCACTTCACCTGTGATGACGCGTCAGACACGACAGATGGTGGCCCAGTTGGCAACGTGGAAACGCTGGAAGCTGAGCAAGGGAGACGTCACCGGAGCTTTTCTGCAGTCCCGAGAGTATCCTGATCAACTGTATTGCATACCGACTCCTGACATATGTGAAGCTTTAGGAGTGGCGCCAGGCACGGTGACCCGCGTTCAGAAAGCCTGTTACGGCTTGGTGGACGCTCCACTCGAGTGGTGGAGATCAGTGGACAGCTTTCTGCAAGAACTCGGGTTCCAGAGAACCTGGGCTGACTCTTGCTGCTGGGTACTCCGCAAAGGCGGGGTACTCAAAGGGGTCATTAGTGGGCACGATGATGACTTTTTGTTTGCTGGAAAAAGTGGCGATCAGTTCTGGGAAGACAAGTTAGAGGCCATCAAACAGAAGTTTAAATGGGGAGCATGGGACACGGGATCCTTCACTCAGTGTGGTGTGCTTGTGGAACAGGGACCGGCTGGAATTCACCTGTCCCAGCCCAGCTATTTGGACAGTCTCAATGAAATAGGGGTCTGCGCGTCTCGTAGAAAGGATAGGTCTAGTCCCACCTCGGACAAAGAAAAATCCCAACTGCGAGCATTGTTAGGAGGACTCAGCTGGCACGCCTCCCAGGTCGCTCCCTACCTGGCCGCTGAAGTTAGTCTGTTGCTAACCGAGGTAATCCGGTGGGTGCACAGTGAAGCACAGCTGGCCAACTCTCTGACGAAGGCCAACGGCATGAGAGAGTACGAGCTGTATAGCAAGATGGGACATCGATGGCGACTCGTGGAGGACACCAACATGATGTCTGCTCGCCGGCGGAAGGAGGCCGGACTACAACCTCTTGAGCAAGCCCAAACTTGTTTGGAAAAGGGGACTAAAGATGTAGATCAGCAGAGTAACGCGCAGAGATAATGTTCCAGAGTGCCGAGAAGTGGCCACTCACCTTTCCATTTCGGGGAAAACCCTGGGGGGAGGGGGGCATGCAAGTGAAACTTGTAGCCCTCGCTCGCTGCCTCAGGAACTCATGCTCACGCACGCGAAGCATGCTATGGATCAAAAGAAGGCGGGGGCCCTTAGAGTGTCTGTGCTGTAGCTCCGGTAGAACCCGAGCCATCCCTGGACCTCACGAGCCCTACCGGATCCTGGCATACATCTTGTGCATCCAGACTACCACGCTACCCCGCTTTCAGGGATTATAGAGTGGGCTTGGGGCTGAGAGATGATGTTATGGATTTAGGGCGAATATTTTACATACTTTTGGGGTTTAGGTACTTACTTGGTCCCTGAGGGGAAGAGCAATATATTTTTTGGCACTGTTCGTATTGCTATTATTACTGCCTTGCTTCTGCCTGTCTGAAACATATATTTCAATTGCAGAGGGCCCTAGACTCCAAATAGCAAACCTTACACCCAGACCCTAAGCCCGAAGCCCTAAACCCTAAACTCTAGACCCTAAACCCTGAACCCTAAACCCTGAACCCTAAACTCTAAACTCAAACCCTAAACCCTAAAACCTAAACCCTAATCCCTAAACCCTAAACCCCAAACTCCAAACACCTGCCAAATTTCATTGATACCCATTTAGGACACCTAGCATAGCAATGAGCATCAGCCAACTTTCCTATCCCCTCAACGATGCTGCATTTTGGCACTTTTGGGCCTATAGTGGTGTCCCATTATTTATGAAAACCGCGACATATTGATGTAACTGTTCGTGAGCACGGCAGTCTCCATGGTGTTGCTGAGTTTTCTCAACCCAGGCACATAGGAGCTAGGGTTTAGGGTTAAGTCCTTCGGCCCCAGGGTTAAGCTTTCATGGCTTACCTGGACCCTTCGATGTACTTGGCTTTAGAGTTTGATAACCTTGTTGGGTACTGATTTCTGTGAGATCGGCCAGAAAGCCTGAAGCCTAACTTCCAAATCGTAGGCCCTACACCCTAAATCCTAAACCCTAAGCCCAAAAAGCAATATTTTCGAGGGTTAAGTTGGCCCTTTTTGGCAAGGGCTTGGGGCTGACTCGGGTCTTTTCGATGCGTGCTTAGGGTTTAGAATTTGGGTTTTACGGTTTAGGGTTGAGGGTTGACAGGACATAGGAAGCCCCCTTGCTCCACATCGGAAAAACGTTTAGAGGGATCGCAACACCCCAAATTGTTTTGATGGGTTTCATATATCTTTCTAAGAAACCATGATTGGAAGCAAGCTTTACATCCCGCTTGGTTAACCCTAAAACCCTAGACCCCAACCCTATTTGTGGTTCAGGAAATCAGGTTAGCATTGCAACGTTGTTAACCTAAGGGCACCAAAGCTATACTCTGTCACCCAAGACAAATTGAAAAAACACCTAAACCCTAAACCCTAAACCTACCTTGTCCCAGTTGCTGAAGTCCCTAGGCCCAGAGAGGCTATTAGCTTTCATTATGAGAGAACTGGAACACAAAAGCTATCCTAAACCCTACCTGCCCAGCTACTCCCTACTCCCTAAACCCTAAACCCTAAACTACCTTATGTGCCTCCTGAAGGTCTTCGAGCGCGCCATACTGCTGGTAGCGGATAAGACCTGCTGCACAAGCGCAAACCCTGCAAAGGAGAGGGTGTAGAGTTTGGGGTTTAGGTTTTAGGCGTGAATGTGATAGTATCTGAGCGGCAATATGAAGATCATTACTGGATCTAGTGTGCAATGCCTGAGCTACCTTCATTTGTAGGCCAGCTCGATTTAGGGCAAGAATATGGTCTTTGTCAAGCTGTTTCCTTTTGGGCTCCTCCTTAGATACAGCCCCGCCATTTAGGGTACCTAAGATCAGACCATGATTTTGACAACCTGCCCGGCTCCCATAAGCCTCCTGTACAATCCGGTTATCCACATCATTTGCCATTTGTTTCCCTAAGCTTGTTTTGCTGAAGTCACAGGAATCGCGATAAGTTGTGGTTGTGCTGCGGCAAGTCTCAGCGGTGACGAGGCAGAGCATTTAGGGTTTACCTGGGTTTAGGGTAAAGGGCTTCAGGCGTGACGAGGTAAAGCATGTAGACCTTACCGCCAAGTTCCACACCAGGTATGACGACTGCTATGCAGACAATGAGGATGGGGATTCAGGCTCAAGCAAAAGTCTGTGCGTTCAAGTTGTCACTTACACACACACTGGCTAGCCTTTCCTGGTAGATATGCGGGACGATAGGTTGTTTAGTGCCATAACCGTCAACGCGAGGTATTTCCCTGCCTCTTCTCTGTATGGTGCACCTAGTTTATAGGTTCAAGGAGCCTTACGCCCAGGGTACAACCCTTGAGTAGCCAATCACCTGATACGACTCTCGCAACCTCAGCCACCTAATAATTGAGGTCCCTGTATAGTACGTAGCATACCATTCTACGATGTACTAAGTGGTCCACTCGGTTTAGGACTCCGGGTTTGGGGTTGATGTCCCTCTACTGTAGCATATATCCTACACTGACGCACTTGATCCCATCATGATAATCCTCGAGAATCTTCACGTTCACGTGTAGAAGAACTCCAACGCCGCAGTCCTTCATCCCGAGCTGATCTTTGAAAGGCGAATTTAGAAGACGCGAGCAAGTGTCAGCACTAGCTGCTTCAGTGGTTCCAAGTCATTCTAAGTTGCTTCGCTTGGCAAAGTACGTCCTGCCAAAACGCAAGCAGGCAAAGCTTGCCCCTACAAAAAACCCTACAATTCAGCCAAACAAAGTTCCTGGGCTGAACAGCTGCACCCGTATATCCCTCCTGAGAGCTCGAAGCGCCACAGTTGTGCTAGCAATCATGCGACATTTTGACATTTTTGCAGTCCATTGCCCCGAAACTTTCTAAGTGGAAGTGTCTAAACTTCAAAATGTATAGAAGACTGGCCTTGTTGACCATCTGTGGCGGTTTGGGCTACTGTTTTGCCTACTTTGGACCCTAAACCCTAAACCCATGTGTCTAGAGCGACCTTGGGCATCGATGTTCAGCCGTTCTCGGATCGTCCGAAGCGCCTTGCACACAGGGGCTGTTGAGGTGCAAGGTTGAAATTGACATATAACAGGGTTTTGGGTGGGTTGAGGGATTAGCGTTGAGGGTTTAGGGTTTCTCCTTAGGTAGATAGAATATGGGTTACATGGGGATCTTATCATTTATTGGGCAATTCCATGTTCTAGCTACTTAAGCGGGCTATAATTAGGTAAGGAACTGCCCAGACCGTGACACAATCATGCAGAACGGGCTAACTAGTGGTCTATCAGTTCCACTACTATGACCTGTGAATGCGGTGTAGCGTGAGATCAGTACCGAAGGGTGATGGTCTCAACATCAGTCCTGCACGTTGTTTCCTCGGAGTATCTACACTAGCTGTCACTTGCTAACTCTGAAGCATTTCCGTGCGCACGCTCGAGACCTTTGTCTCGTTTGGCAGGAACAAATTTCAAATCACTATCGTTCCAGGGAAAATTCTTGACATATTGACATTGACCATGAAGCTCAAGCGTTGGCCTGCCAACTTCACACGTTGGCCTGAGGGACCTCAAGAATAAAGGGTTGCAAGCTGTAGTTAGGAAAAGACTCACTGCTGTCTTGACAAAAATTTAGGTTGTCAGAGCTCCGCATCATAAATCAAAGGATCATCCGTTGAAATTATCTTTCAATATCACGGGCCCCGTCTAGAGGGAAAAACTAGAGCGTGCATACGGGACTTCTTTTGGAAAAACACTTCTGTTGCTACCGAAGTCTGAAGTGAGTCCCTGAATCCAAACCTGTGCGATTAATTCAGAACCCTGAACCCTACAACATAAATGCAGGGTCATTGGTAGCCGGTGGTTATTACGGTTATTATTGTGATAAACATTCCAAGCCCTAAGCCCTACAACCCATGATCCAAAATCATGAATACAGCTATCCATATGTATATATGTATATATATGCCCTAGGACCGATCCTCAAAACCCAAGGCAAAGCACCCAATGCCATATGCCCTAACTAAAACAACAAAAGATTGGATCTCAAGGTCTACAACCTAAACGCCAAGGCTATGAACACAAAGCCCTAAACCCTCAGCCTTAAATGGTAGACCCTGAGCCCTAAGCCCTAGACCCTGGCCCCTGGCCCTTAACCCCCAGCCGTAAACCCTACACCCCCAAACCCCAAACTCCGAACCCCTAAACTTAGCCCACATTACCCTAGGAAGACAATATGGATCTTTTCTCAATAAATCTAAGGAAGCCCATACCCCAAAAATGTAGAGGATCCCTGAACCCCGTCATCTCCCTATAAGATCCCCTATATCCCCCTTTAAAGGATCCCCAACAAACATGAAGGATCCCTAAACCCTATGACATATCTCCCTATAATATCCCCTAAATCCCCTATATATATATAACTTTAAAGGATCCTTAACATTGATCCAGTTTTGCCCTGCATCCCTACACCCTGGCTGGTTCCCTCCTCGGACTCGGTCTGAATCTTCCTCTGTTCTGCGTTGGCCTGGGCTTCCTGCAAGGAATTGCGGTTTAGCAGAGGGATGAGGGGTTCAGGGTTTAGGGCTCAGGGCTCAGGATCAAAGACGAGTGCTAAGCTCCGAAACCCATACATAAACCTATAGCCCCACGCCCGAAAACCAGACACTCCAAAGCCCAAATCCAACACCCTAAATCCGAAATTTCAGACTCCAAACCGAAACCCCTAAACACCTAAATTCTCATCCCTAAGCCCCGAGCTCTAGGCACTTGTAAACTCGAATCCAAAATCCCAAAACCCTAAACCCTAAACCGGGAAACCCCACAATCCGGAAGTCCTTGGTGGTGATTGTGTAGTTTGCCTGACCATCCGCTAAGATGACCTTGGTTTAGGGTTTAGGGTTTAGGGTTCAGGGTTTCGGGTTTAGGGTTTAAGGTTTTAGGGTTCAGGGTTTAGGTGGTGATAGAGAAGCAAAAAGATCAGCAGGAGTTAGAGTTTAGGAGAAAGAAGGGTCGAGAGCTTGTGTAAAGAATCGCTTGCCGTTAAGGTCGATGTTCCAAAAATTCAGGATGTAGAGTTTAGGGTTTCGGGTTGGGTACCTAGGGCTTTGGCACAAGTGACGGTAGGACGGGTGTTGAGTAGGTATATGAAAATTGGG